TTACTACACTCCATGACTCTACCTTTGACAGATCGAAGTTGCTTCTCACAAGATCCTCCCTTCCTTTCTTGGAGGCACAGACTAGGGCCAGGCCCAGACTCAGCAACAGCAGCTTCATCTTAACAGGGGACAGCACTGTCTCCTCTTCAGTTGCCCATTGTGAGTCTTTCTCTAACCGTGGCTCCAGTCCGTAGTTCCTTTGTCTTTATATCCATTCTGTGTCCAGATTTCTGTCTGTGAGGCACCACCTTCCTCCTCCTCACCCCCATCAAATGGTCTTTCATTCACTGGCGTGAGGCTAAGGATTGTTCCCGCCCTTTTGAAATGTGGCAATCCCACCTCTTTTAGATCCGGTTAGTGACCTTAAATTTTTCAGAACACATTCTCAAGAAAAATAGTGGATGTTTTAAAGGGCTGCCATTTGGAACCAGATTGAACTGTGGTTCTGGCTTTGGAATCAGAAAGCCAATTATGTGTCACAGAAATGGGTGTAATACGAAAATGGAATATGTGAGAATCTTTGTTCTACCTTTCACACGGTGTGTGGAAATTATGTGAGTTACTCAATTTTTACAAGCCACAGAAACAAAGAAACTGTCTCTACCAAAGATAACAGTACCTATCACAAAGCATTAAAATAGGATTAACTAAAATGATGTCTAACTTTTAAAAAATCACCAATATATGTAGAATTTAATCAAATGATTTTATAGTCTCTATTAAGATACATTTTTATTTTATTAATGTAGATTTCTACTTTTGAAATAGTCTAGAAGTCCTAGGATAAGTATTACTACTTATTTTATTAAACTTCTAGATTTGATTTGTTAATTACGTACTTAGAATATTTAAGTTCCCTTCCATCTGTATTTATAATCCATTTCTTATTCCTGGATTTTCCCCCTCCCTGTCCCCTTGTTCCCATTTGCTAGAAGTTTGTCTATTGGCTCAGCAAATCTATTTTTTGTATATATCTTATTAATGTGTGCTTTTATCTTTAT